AAACTTCTTCTTTCACAGATTTGCATTCATTTCTCTTAAGAGATCTGAGAGTGATGCAGATATTCATGTGAAATCCTTGATGAATCTGCAGTAGTATGAGATTAACTCAAGAAACTGTTATATATAATGTACATTTCTCAGCTACAGTTAATTCACTATGACATTCAATTTCTCTGAAATGAGGTATATACAGTTATCACTCATTATATGTTCTATGAACTTCAACTCTTTCATTTCAAACACACACTTGATTGATTTGACATAGAGCTTATACTCTGTCAGAGTTATAAGCACTTTATCAAGATGCTTCAGATATTCATCATATGAGTTTGAAAAGACTAGAATATTATTAAGATATACAAGATATGAGGTTTCATTCTGTTTATAAAGAATCATATTCATCATCATTTGAAAGATGACAGGCACATTTATCAGACTGAATGACATTGCTAGAAATTCAAACTTTTCTTATTATATATTAAACACAGTTCACAGAACTGACAGTTCACAGAACTGACAGTTCATCTACACAGATCTGTCAGTATTCTGAGAGAAGATCAATCTTCAATAGATATCAGGCATTTTCAATCATATTCAACTGTTGTTGAATTCATGACAGTGAATATTCATTCTTGATCATAAGCTTGTTAAGTGCTCAATAATTAATACACATTCATCACTCTTCACTCACCTTTTTCATGAATAGAACTGAAAAGCCCCACACACTTGATAAGAGTTATATAAGATCACATTCTAGAAGATCTGTGATCTGATGCTTCTGTTCTTCAAGGTGTGTTTGTGACAGAGAATACATATTCTGATTGACTGATTTTGCATTCTCTGTGTCAATCTTATGTACAAATTCTCATTTCAGCAGTAATTTCAGTGAAAGATCTGTTTAAAAGACCTTTCTATACTTCTTCAGAAGCTTCTTCATACACTTATTCTCTCATATATTCTTTATCTTGATTTTCTTCACTTCCAGGTTCTGTATAACATACAGAATGCTTTCAGATGAGATCTTGCAAATCATTCTCTTTGCTTGTTAATGTATAAGCAGATTTAACCCTTTTATATCAGAGGCATGGAATGTTCTTCTCATATCAGTTGATAGAATCATATGAATCATTTTCTTTCTATCAGTCAACTGCATATGACATGTACATCATTGAATCTGCAGGTTGAATCTTTGAAATCAATCAAGTTCAAGAATAAGATTATATTTCACATTCTACAGCTCTCACACTCAAATATAGCAAGATTATTCTCTGAAGTGCAAGAGAACTCTTACTCTTACAGATAATATCAAATATCAGTTATCAGATAATCTTATACATCAGAGATTCTTCACTCAGTGAACTTCTTTCAATCTTTGAATTATATAATCATTAATATATTATATAGAAGCTTCTGTGTTCACTAACACTTTTACAGCCATCTCTCAATTCTTATTCAAGTGTCTTCTATACATTAACATTTCAGGCTTTAAGACATTGAGATGAGCATTCACTTCATCCTCACCTGCATCTCAGTCAGAAGCCTGCTTTCTCTTGACATTCACAGGATTCAGAGAGTCATCTAACACAGGCATCTCTTTCACTTTAAAGACTTTTCATAGAATATCAGCAAGTGTCTTCAAGCTCACTGATTCTGCTAGTTTTTTGACTCTCTTGCTTCTCTTGACTGTGCACACTGAGTGTAATCTTTTACATTATGATTTTAATATCTGCAGTTGAAGTAAGCTCAATACTTGTAATATCAAGATTTTCACTCAGAGAATTTCTTTTTCAGAGAATTCAGTACTTTAGTAATAGTATTCAGATCTAGATTCATCACATTCAGATATGTGACTTGTATTATAGAAGTCTGATTATCTGTTCTTCACTGAGATATACTTAATTGCAGTATTTTCTGTTGTAATTGACTCACTTATTCTCATACAATGAGAATATTGTATGCTTTCTTCACTGTGTCTGACTGTGAGATTAAGTATTTTCATTTCACTCTCAACTCAGATATAAGATTATAAATGAAGATCTGTAAACAGAAAGATGTTGAAAGCTCTTCATTCAATGCAAGATAGTGTAAACTGAAGTATGTGAAGTATAATATAAGATCACTCACTTGTTTATACTCAGTGAAGCATTCATAATGCTTATCTTATATATTCACTTTCTCAAAGTTATGTAAGATTCATTTGAAAAACTCATTTCATATTCATAAGAATGAATATCACTCTGAGTCTGTAAGATTCATCTTTTCATCAGTTATTTATAATGACTTTGCTTTTCTGTATAGAAACACAGCAGATCTTAAGACTTATTGAAATTTTATTGACTGTCTGTCTGTGAGTTCATATTCAATTCAATAATATGATTATATCTGACTTAGTCAGCTGATTGCAGCATCATTTTTTCAGTCACTATTAAAGCTTGATAGCTTCAGCAGATCTCTCAGCTTGATATATTTCATACTCAGATTCTCATTCTGTATAGTGATCTTCAATGATGTGTATACTTCTGAAGAGATCATGAATAATCATGATGAGATCTTCAGGTTCAGTGTAGTTATTTATCTGTGTAAACATTTAATCTTCTACTACAGGTCTAAGATCTGATTTTCTCTATTCTTATTGATAATAATAATTACATCAGTGAAGCTCTTCATAGTAAATACTTGATCTGTAGCAAATGTCAATTATTGTTTGACTTCTGCCTCAGTCTGCCACTGTGTACACAAGGCCTTGATTTCATTTAGAATCCTTGTACATGTACAGAGCTTTGATTTCAGTTCAGCAGTTTCAGCTGCTTTTCTTACTGTTTTAAGTAAACTCTCTGAGAGATTCTGCATATCTTTCAGTTCAGGTAGCAGAGAAGGGTGTTGTTCATATCAGCTAGAAGAGATATTCATTTCAGTGATTTTCTTGTTAATTGTATAATGTCTATTGTTATATTGCTATATCATTCTATCACTATATCATTATATGATTTCTGTTATCATTGTATGACTTCAGTGATGGCCACCTCTCTTTTATCTCTTTGAGTGAAGAGTGGTCTTCTTTGAATCTGATTCACTGCTCTCATTTCTTTTCTCACACCTCATTCATTCGCATACATGGCATTCGCCTGAGTGTGGAGTTTTTCCCCAACAAGTGAAGCAGCATCAATCAGATGCTCTTTCACTCACTGCTCTTCATACACTATCTTTTTTAAGGCATTCTAGAACCACACTGGCATGATAACTATGAATTACTTTGTAGACAGAATTATCACATTCTGGAGAAGCCTGCGCTTCTCACTAGTTTTTAGACATGCTATCAGATGTGATTCAAAGGTTGCTTAAGCCAGTGTACAATTACAGACATACACCAGCTTCTTATATTGTAATCGCATACACTAAATTAATTAGCATACACTATGGCCCCTTTGCACTTGTACGCGTACGCTAGTAGTTCGGAAGCGGCCGCGTTATTATCCGACGGTCGTACGTTCTTCCGAATCACACATCATTGTAAGTTTCATAACCTTTGTATCATTCTTATCAGATAGTGTTAATATTACATCATTACTCTTTATCTGCAGTGTATTCACAGGTTCAAAATCATCATTGAGTATAGCAAATCAGATCAAGTCTCTGTATATGACTGGCTTTTCTATCTCATAGATATTTCTGTTATTCAATCTTGCAGTAAATGAGAACATTCTATCAGAAGACATAAGCAATATGACATGATTATTTTCATATATCAGTTGTTTGAAGGTATAATCTTGATATATGAGCTTACTCATGCTCATAAGATTCACTTTCAATTTTGAAATGTAACAGACACTGCTTAGCAGCATATCTGCTTCTTCAACAGGTATCTTAATATTCTCTATAGTCATAGCTGAGACTATCATTTCATCTGTCATTTTCAACATCACTTTCACCTTCTGAGGTTTTGCCATGACAAGATTCCTGTGAGATGTGACATGAGCGCCCAATTCAGAGTCTAGAATTCAAGTATCTTTTTCTGTCTAGTCACTCACATAGGCCTTTTCTTTGATGCAAAATACTTGCTTCATAACATTGTGAACAGGAGCAGCATCTGTGTTCTTCACATCCTTGTCTTTATTCTTGTTTCTATTTGTATTGAAGTTTGAAGAATGTTTCTCAGAGTATTTCTTCCAACAGTTAGTCTGAATATGATCAATCTTTTGACAATAATAGCAGATCCTCGCATCATTACCTCTATATTCAGGTTTGAATTCAGTGTCCTTGTTCTTGTCATTGTCTTTCTCTTTGTCCTTGCCTTTCTTATCCTTATCTTGTGTATTATTGATAGAATTTCTAGATACATCAGTATTTGCTTCATTCACAGCAGAGAGCTGCAAAAGAATATCACAGCACAGGCTTATAAAATCATTCTCTAAGAGTTGAGTATTATCTTTGTCAATTTAATTCATTCAATTTCTTATGAATGAGGCTCAATCTCTGTTGACTTCTGTAAGCAGTCTATTGAAAAACATGACATTCAGAATCTCATATTCTAGACAGATATAATCAGTTCTTATGATAATCAGACATTCAATGAAAGTGTGATCTGAGTCTTTTGACTTAGCAGTCATGCTAATTAATTTCTCAAACAGACAGGTTCTGCAGACAGCAGGCCTCTCAGAAAAGTTATTCTCTATAATAGTTCATAGAGTATAAACAGATAACTTGAATTCCTTGAGTATAGTGAAATGAGCCTTGGCCTGCAGAGCAATTGCAGATCACATGTAATTGTATAATCAAAGATTGCATTCTTTTCAGAAACATTGCATGTTCATGATGACATTCTCATCAAGATCATTATCTTCAAGAATATTATCAGTTTCAGACTGTTCTGCAGTCAAAAGAATTTCCTCTCTTCACATTGAGTAATTAATGAATTCAGTGAGAACAATTGATCTTTTGATGAGTCTTACTTAGCTTCTGAATTCTTCAAGAACTTTCATTATAACAGATGTCTTCTCTTTTCATTGAAGGTATTCTATCAGATCTGCTCTCATCTCATCACCTGCAGAGTCACCCCTACTGATCTTCATTCGCTCAACCTCATGCTGAAGTCTTGCTATTTCTAGTCTCATGCAAGTCTTCTTACTCACTGAGCTATTGTCATTCTGATCACTTGAGCTCCCTGCATTGCCTGACATCTCACTGATGTCTAGACTGACCGTGTGACCGTGTCTGAAACCAGGACCAGATTTTTTGATAGTCTCATTATCAATTTGACTGATCCCATTACACGGTTTTAACATTAGATAGTAGTCTCATACTGTCCCAGTGAGACTTACTGTCTACTCTTGTCACATTTTCCAAATGAGACCATGATTTCCACTTCTCAATTTAAATTATTTTTATTGCTTTAAATGACTTTAAATCTCATTTGAGTGTTATCAAAAAGTGTTACTTTTTAAAAAATTAAAAATAGTCTAAAAAAAACCTTAAAATGTCTAAAAATAGTAACTTTATGCCAAGAATGGGACTAAATGAGATCAAATGGGACCACTTTCTCATTTTTTTCAAGTCATGGTTTCATTTTAAAATCTGATATATAGTCACTTTGCAGGTTTTTTTGATAGCTAGTCCCAGCGGGATTCACATCAAGAAATGTATGAGACCAGATCAAATGAGATCAAACGTGAAATTCATGGTCCCAGCGGCCAGTCTACTGATGCCTTCAACTGAGTCTTTGTATTCATTGTTAAACTTATCAGATTGTTCTTTCACAATTGTGTCATTCAGCTCAAACACCTCAGAAGCTGTCTTCTGATTCATTATTGATATTAGCAGTGATCTGTGATCTTGCATTTGCTGCTCTGATGTTTTCTTGTTTTTCTGTCTTGAAGACATGTATTCTTTTATTAAGTCAGGCGTCCCCCCGGATCTTAGATTAATCATGGGTTCAATCACTCAATAAATCATCTAGGCACACTTGTAACGACGCATGAAGATGTCAATTGCATGTTATTTTACAGCTTTTTCATTGCATAGAGAGCTTCATAACCTCTTGAAGAATAACATTGTTGTGTTATGTTGTAATCTAACTACACGAGTTACACTAAATGAATAGGTTGAGGTGGCACGTGACTAGAGTAGGTGTAGTAATCATCAACATATTTTTCATGCAGTTCAGATTACTCAGAACAACATATATAAGATTGATAAATGAGAGTTTAATAAGAATTTCAATCATCTGAACAAGGCAGTCAAGTATATTGCAATGTCATATAAGTATGATTTTGACTGAAAAGTTAATCTTTCTGTGACTGCTGTTACTACTGTTGATAACATTAATTCTACAGTTTCAAATACAGGTCTCAAGAATACAAGAATATCAAAGACTCTTTTAAACTGATACTGTGATCTCAGTCACATTCATACTGATGCTATAATTACTATAATCAAGGATTTCTATACTGAAGTCACAATTAAAGATTCTAAGACTAAGTTCTTTTGTAAGAAATGTGTTAAGACTGATATAATATGAGATTATTTGAAAACACTGATGTCTAGATCTATCTGACTCATTGAGAAGGTTTATATTAATCTTGTAGATAATGAATATACATTGAAAGATCTCTCTGACCATCTTTTAGAGTTTCATCAGAAAATTAAATACTGAATACTTATCATCTGCAATGCAACTTACTATCATTGAGTGTATTTTTTAAAGTTTAAAAATGAGACTGTTCAATACTTTGAGTTATGACTCAGATTCATGAGTAATCTCAGGTATACAGTTCCTGCTTTTCTACAGACTGATATTAATAGTGTTTTTCAATTCACATATATACACACAGTCATGAATTTATATAATATCAAATGAAAATCAACAGCATTACATTCATCACATCAGAATGATGTTTCTGAATGTGAGATCTGCACTATCATGAAACAGATTAGAGCTGCTCTTTTAAAAGATAATCTCTCTAAGAAGTTCTGAGCAGATATTCTAGAGACAGTGATTATAATAATTAATAATACTTTTACATCTACAGTTCTTTACAACTCAAAATTTTGATCCTCTACTGCAGAGACTTCTGTGATTTCAAGTTCATATAAGATTTCTTAATGTGCACTTATGAATACCTCACTGAATGTAAGGCATTTTCACTAATTAAGTACAGAGGTTTTTATTCACTTGTATAAATCTCAGCAGCCTGTGAATAAGCTTTCTTCATGTGCTGATTTCTATTATATCATTGAATTCAGTGATATATTAATATATTACCTATGATATTCTGAATCTGATAAGATTATTATCAGTAATAATGTGAGGTTTCTGATCACTGAAAAACTGATTATTACATCTATGAAACTTATTAATTATATTGTTGAACTGAAATCTGATATTTATCTGATTGATAATAAAGATGCTTCTGACATTGATAATCTGAATTCTACATAATTACAGCCTGCGAAATCACTGACTACTTACACTTTAAGTCTTATTACAGGCAATCTTCTGAAGTTCTATAAGAATGTCACATCTCAGTTAGAGAAGATAGAAGATTATTGAAAGAAGTTTATACAATGTAAGATTACTGATCTGAAGAGATATAATATATAAAGTGTAATGTGATGAAACCGAAGTGATGACTAGTCAGTGATATTATATAGAAGTAGTTGTTTAAGAAGCTGTATAAGTGAGCTTGACTATCTTGCTTGAATAGTGAGCTCATAGACTACAAGATTATTGTGAGAATATCACAGATATAATACTTAGTATACTAAGAAGATTGTATAAGACACACAGTAACTCTTGTATATATTTCAGTGAGAGTAAAAGAAATAAATTACTGACTTCTTTGATAAGAAGTCAGCATCTAGCTATTCTATATAGACAATAAGCAGATACTCTTCTCTCATTTCATAAGTGAGAATAGCTGAAGTGATATCTCAGCAGTATCTCACTGTCAAGAAAGAGTAATCTGCTAATCTTGTATAGAAGTGAGGTTCTCATATTTATCAATCAGATCTTTCTATGATATATCTGAATGATATTATATAATAATTGAAAACCGGTTCAGTCAGTCTGCAGAATGAATGAAATTATTCACATGAAAGTAATAAGCTGTGTGAAGCTGTAACAGAGTCTTAACATGACTGAGAGTATGATAATACTCTCTTCTTTAAGAGTATAGTTCTGATGTTCTTATAATTACTGAATTAGAAATTATCTTTATTGTATAGCAATGATTATTAATTGATTTGACAGCACATGTACTGCATATAATATAAAGAAATAGATGAGTTTTTCTGCTAACTGTATAGATCTTTCTTTTTTCATCATTATTCAAATCAAATGTGTGATAAGTGAGTTTCTTATATATTGATTTGAAATATGAAAAATATAGTTAATAAGTAACTTACAGATCTCTCATTATATTTCATTCTATATATGAAATTCCCTGCAAAAGTGATGTGTTTTAGAAACAAAGTTAACAGTAGTAATAGAATTTTTTGAAAAGATTCTCTTTCTCTGTGACACATTTTTCTCCCCTCTTCTTCATCTGTAATAGTGAGTGCATGAGAGCATCATTCTTGAGAGATAATAAGAGACTTATTCTGACATTTTTTAATGAGTAATAAACATCTTCATAATGTGGCAGTGGCCTCTGTGACTGCTAAGAAAGCCAGGTTGAAGGCAGTGATGTCAATGAGCTGCAGAAGCACTGCTTTCATTGCCTCATCTTCTTCTACTTCTCTTACAGCTGCAGTGAAAGTTGCCATGCTCTGCAGTGAGATGTCATTTCTTCTGTCAGTCAGTGTGTCTGTGTTCAGTCTGTTTCCTGCTCTCTCTGCCGCTGTTGCAATGCCATTCTTCCTCTCAGTCAATACAGTGATGTATGACCCTGTGTGATCATTCAGAGAGAAACTTGAGAAGAGCTTGATTCTGAGAACAGTGACTCTGAGAAGCTCAATCTGTAGTTTCTCTCTCACAGTATATCTGAGCCCTGCTCAGAATACTGCTGAGTTGAGTCTGCAGAGTCTCACAGTTTCTTTATCTTCTCTCTGTAAGAAGGCTCTGATGCAGTCTCTGACCAGTACTGCTACTTGTCTACACTGTGTTAAGCAGCTGAAGAAGAGAAGAATCTTATACATCTATTTCTTCTCTCACTTCTGTTATTTTCATTACATCTGTAATAATGACTTCTGTCTCTCTGTAAGTATTATCTCACAGAAAGATGTTATATCAGCTCTGATAAGAAGTCTAGATACTCAAGCAGTACAGAGTGAAAGTCTCAGAGCTTCAAGTGTTGATGAATTCTATCAAGACTGAGAAGATCTCTCTTACTCATCTGTAAAAGAAGATGAAAGTGTGAGTCTCTGAGATAAAAAAACACCTTAGAATGACTGATCTCAAGAAGAGATCAGCTGATACTACTGTTGAAAGTATTACAGAGACTAATTACTGATTGAAGAGAATCTCACTTCAGTTGAAACAGATAACTGAGATACTTTATAAGTTAATAAGTTAATATTTTATACATTTCTTCTGCTCTTCTGCAGTGCTGCAGTACTAACTTCTCAGCAGATAAAAATACTGATATCAGAGACTTTAACAGTGAAGAATGAGTTTAATGAGAGTGTAATTATTAATAAGTAGACTCTGATCTCTCTTTTTACTTTTTCAGCAGGCTGCAGCCTTATTAGAATAGCAGCAGTCTGTGAATTAATAATATTAATCTTTTTATTAGTTTCAAATATTTCTTTTCTTTTAACTGCTTCAGAAATGTTATACTTGTGTAGTCTTATTAAACTTCTAAAAATTCTTTAAGAGAAAATAGAAGAAGAGTGTTACTGAGTCTATAAGATGCTGACTTATTACTGTAAGATTATCTCTAAAAAATTCTTTGAGAAAAATAAGAAGTCTTAAGTGACATTTCTTGCTTAACATCTCTGACATGTAACAGAATAATCTCTACTAGCTGTCTTATAGATTGTAATCTCTTTCTCAGTATTTTTCAAATACTCAAGTGATTCTCATGAATTCTCTGATGATAAATAATCTTCTTATTTAATAAGATATTGAAGCTTGCTATAATATATTCACTTATTTAATATTTTCTTTATAAGATATTCAGTATCACTCTTAATCTCAATATCATTCAGTCAAGATGACTCTGTCTCAGAGTATTACTTATAGAGCTTTAAATAGAAAATATGAAAAACAGAATGAATTGATTTCAATTCTGTGAATAATTTTAACTCATATATCTGCTTACTTATCACTCTTGTTACTGAGAAAGATTCTAGTCACTACTCACTGAGCTTCTTACACAGTCTCATTGTCTTAATATTCTTTGCTGAAAGTAGTACTTAATTCTCTATTAAGAACTTTATTGAAAGATGTTTTTAATTATAGTATTTCATCTATCACTTCTGAGTGTGATGAATGCTTTTCACTGTCTTCTTATAAATTTTATTTAAAAGTTTCAATCTCACTTTTACTTCTGACACTGAGAGATACTTCATTCTCTGTATCTATCTGATATTCTGACTGTCTATCTTCTTCTTTAAAATGTCATTCATGACATCACTGAGTAACAAAGAATTATATTTATAATAAGCATAGAAAGAAGATATCTTTAAGATTATATTCTTTGTATTATTATATATGAATTTGACAGTCAGAAGATGTTTGAGTCAATTATTCTGATAATATAAATAGAATGCTTAAAGATGCTATTCTAGTATCTGATTCTGATGTTCAGTCTGATTATCAGTCTGTGAATGAAATACAGTACTGAGAAGATATCTTATTATAAGAT